ATGCATAAACTGACGACCAAATAATTCCTGCTCTTCTTCATCCAGGCTTTCACTGGGAGGAAGTGTGACTTCTAATTTCAGTGGGTTATCTCTGAAGTTGACAAACCTAGCAGTTGACAAAAACAACAAACCAGTACTTTCATAGGTACGATAGAAGTGCTCTTCGTCTAAGCCCTGATGGCACCATGCGTTAAGTTTTGGACTGCTAACTGCAAGGTCAATAGTTGAAACCCACTAGCAGGAAAAAGGTAAAGCTATCTTGGAAAATTTCATCTTGGAGGCCGGTAGAGCAGGTCTACTCTGCCCTACAGGGTCGCTATGAGTTGGGGTTGACTCAACGGCAGTGAGTTTTGATATAGAAGGGCATATTTCCCTGTAGACCAAGTGATGTACACTAAAGTATTCCCTTTTTTGTAATCAAATTTCAGTTACTGAACATCTACTAAGTTGTTTTCTAATGTTAAAAAAAAATGAGCTTTAGATGACTTACTTTGAGAGCTTAAATTTATTTATATATTTGCCATATATTTAATGTGGGATTTAATGTAGAGGAGCAATTTTAATTCATCTTAAATAGATAATGCTGTGGAAAAGGTTCTCCATATTTTATAGACTAATGTGTGTTTTATCAATGTATCTTTACCACCTAGTACAATGCTTAGTAGCTGCTGAGGAAGTAAATAAATGAATTAACAGAGAAAATTGAGATGTTCTCTGTTAATGCCTGTGTTCACTGTCAGGAGTTTAAATTTTGGGAACACTTGGAGTTCAATAACAACTAATTTAGTAAAATTTTTTCTGTAGCACAATTTCTGTTGTCCATTTATAGTTAATTTAAAAGGAAGGCAATTGCTGTTTTTATGTTTCCAGTTATATTGCTGATGAAATTCATTAGCAATTATAAAGATGTTTTTAATACAAATGTCATCAACGCAGAATATTTCCTACCCAGAATTGATTGATGAATCTACTGAGACAGCAAGTAGAATAAGGGTTCCTGGGGGAGATGGGGATGTGTAAGGGAACTGATGCCAAGCAGTTCAAGAAGGAAGAAAATGTCTTTTAAATGACTATGATAGACATTGTACAGTACTGCTGATTATGGAATGATACCTGTATTAGCTTCCAATAAAATGCCTTTGGAAAAAATAAAGTCACAGGAATGCTTTTGTTTTTAATTTGTTGAAGAACATTTCCTAAACCTAATAACCCCCAGTAATAAACTTTAATTTGAAAGATTATTTCTTGAATTAGTTAGATCTGT